CAGAAACATGGTTGAAACCTGGCTATCCTTTCAAAGTAACTGGTTATTCCACCCTTAGAAAAGACAGATCTGATGGGTATGGCGGTGTCGCCATAATCATTAAAAATTCTCTAACTTACCAACTCTTACAATTACCCACTTTAAGTGATGGCATAGATGCTATAGCAATAATTGTAAATGGTATATGTTTCGTATCTATTTACATTCCACGTCCTTCAACAGCTTTATTTAATGAAGTCAACAATTTATTTTCAGTTTTACCAAAACCTTTTTAGCATTAGGCGATTTTAACTGTCATCATCAATCATGGGGAAGCTCTTCATGTAATAGTTTTGGAGACTTAGTGTTAGATATACTTGACTCTCAAAATCTCTGTATTTTGAATAATGGCGCTCCTACGCGTCTCACAGGTCCAGGTGAAGGACTAAGTGCGCCTGATCTCTCTGTATCCACGCCTGATTTAGCATCCTCGCTCTCATGGCATGTTCATACTTCTTCCTGTGGTAGTGACCACATTCCTATTATAATTTCATTTCCTTTTATTCGCCATAATGCCTACGCAAAAACCCAGTCCCCGCATAAAGTATAGATTTCCTCATGACTGGACTGTATTTTCTCAGCGAGTTGAAAATAGAACTTCTTCACTTCCATCTGTTTCTACTCATGAGGAATCTCATTGTTCAGATTATCTTCTTAAAATGCTTCTTGAAATTGCAGATGAATAGTTTCCCATTAAAAAAGGTTATCCAGATAGACTTCCATTGCCTCCTTGGTGGGATTGTGAATGCACTGAGGCTATCAAGAGAAGGAAGGAAGCTGAAAGAATTTATGGTCAGTGCATGACTTCTGAAAATTTTGAAATTTATTCACAAGTCGCACGTAACACCCGTAAGCTTTTAAAAAAAAAGAAATTTGATGGATGGAAGAAGTTCTGTGAATCTATATCTCCTGACGTTAGTCCCGTCTTTGTCTGGGAAAAAATTAGAAGGTTTCGAAGCGCATTTAATTCTTCATCAACTCCCAATTTTCCATCTGAATTAGCAAATCAATTTTTGGATAAGTTGGCTCCAGCTTCAGCTCCTAGTTTAATGACTTGCTCTGTTCCTTCTTTTTCCTCCGGAGACCACCCTGTCCTTAATTCTCCCTTTTCTCTAAACGAATTGAAAGGTGTACTTTCTCTCGTTAAGGACTCATCTCCAGGTGAAGACGGCATCCCATATTCATTTTTCAGTAGCGACAGGACCCTTAAATACTTTTTGGATATAGTAAACTCAGTTATGTTGTCAGGTAATATCCCTAAATCATGGAAATATCAATCTATAGTACCAATCTTAAAACCTGGCAAGTTAGCGTCGGATGCTTCCTCTTTTCGTCCTATAGCTCTTTCATCCGTACTTTTAAAGTTAGCTGAACACTTGGTTAAAAACCGTTTGGAATGGTTTGTTGAAAGCAATGGTTTGTTGGCGTCAAGCCAATTTGGATTTAGAAAAGGTAAAAGCACATTTAATAATATTAGTATATTTGTGATGGATATCCGTTTGGCTTTTACAAATAATGAATCTCTTTTATCAGCTTTTTTGGATATCAGTGCAGCATATGATAATGTCTTAATTTCTCTGCTTCAAAAGAAATTATATGATGTACGAATTCCCGTAATGTTATCTTCTTTTATCATAAATATGTTGTCTGAAAGATATATCAATTTACATCTTCAGGATGGCGCTAAGTTAACTCGTTATGTATGGAAAGGTCTTCCGCAAGGGTCTGTTCTGAGCCCTATTCTTTATAATATATATACATATGACTTAGAGTCCTCACTTAATAATACTGTTAAAATTCTTCAATACGCTGACCATCTTTTGCTGTACAATGTAAACGGTTGTGTTCAAAAAGCATCTTACTCAATGACACAGTCTCTTCAACATTTGAAACATTGGCTAGATACAAATGGCCTTGAACTTTCCATTCCCAAAAGCACTGTTGTCTTATTTTCTAGAAAACGTAATCCACCAATACCTAATGTGGTTTATAATAATATTCCTCTTTCCTTTGTAACTCAAACTAAATTCTTGGGGGTTATTTTAGATTCCAAGCTTACTGGTATTCCACACTCAGATTACATCGTAGCTAAATGTGAGAAAAACCTGAATATTATCAAATGTTTAACGGATGTTTGGTGGGGAGCACATTATTTTTGTTTAAAATTATTATATAATTCACTTATTAGGAGTCTTTTTGATTATGCATCTTTTATTCTTGACCCATGTTACTCATCGGCATTTAAAAAATTGATAGAGTGCAATCTAAAGCTTTAAGAATTATTCTGGGAGCAATGAAGTCGAGTCCCATCAATGCGTTGCAAGTGGAGTGTGTGGAACCTCCTCTTCAATTGAGACGCCAATACTTATCCGATAAATATCTGCTCCGTTGCGTGCAATTTACAAAATATCCTCTTTTGTTACGACTTCGTCGCCTCTCAACTGACGCATCAACATCTCCTTATTGGACTCATAAGTCTCTTCCTTGTCTGGTTATTAGTTTCCGTAAGAGTTTGTCTTTGCAAACTCCAATTCATAACTCCTTTTGTTTGCCTCTTTTCTCTACTAAATACGAAGCTTATCTCTGGACCTCCGTTTGTCTTTAGGTATCAATAAGAATTCTATTCAAAACTCCCATACTTTCAATTTCATTAGGACAGGGACTTCCAATCGTGGCACTGCATTTTTAGTGATGCTTCTAAGCATGGCAGCGACAGTGTTGTTGGCGTTGGTGTGTATCATCAACAATATAATAATAACAACGCACACACTCAACGCACACACTCAACATAGCCCCGCACTAGGGAAACCCTGTGTCGCGGGTGCCATGGACACATACATAGACAAACACAAATTACACCCAAACTCACGAGAGAAATAAATGTAGGCCATACAAATATTTCTCCCGGCCCGGGAATCGAACCCAGGACCTCTGCGTGTCAGTCCGGCATGGTAACCGTTCGGCCACGAAGGCAGTTAGTTAATATAACATTGTTCAAAAAATTAAATTGCCTCCAGAAACTTCTGTTTTTACTGGAGAGTGTTTCGGTTTATACAAGGCAGTCGAGTACGTTCTCTTAGCTAAGCTAAGAAATACTGTAATTTTTTCCGACTCTATGAGTGCTCTTCATGCACTGTCTAGATTTCCTTTTAAAACGCGAATGCTTTGCCCAATAATACTCGAAATTAGAAATTTGTTGTTAGCTTGCTCTTCGAAAGGCTTGTCTGTAGTTTTCTCCTGGATACCGAGTCATTCCGGTATTCATGGAAATGATCGTGCTGATCAGCTCGCAAATGATGCTGCTGTTGACGGGGACACGGCGTACTATAAAAATTATAATCACGATTTGGCAACCCTTCCTATACATTTCCTTAGACATGATTGGGGTGTGATGTGGTCTGAAAGCAGTAAATTAAAAGGTAAATCTTATGCTTACATTCAACCTTCTATTCCTGTAAAACCATGGTTTTCGTCACTTAAATTTAATAGATTAACTACATCTGTTTTGATTCGTATGCGGTTGGGTCATGTTTGTACTCCTGCACACCTTGCGAAATTGAACATCGTTAATAGTGATTTATGCGAATGTGGCAAAGTTGGAGATTTTCAAACTGCCCTAAATATGATTATTCCTTACTCTTCCAAAACCTTATCCAATCAGGTATACCTCTTCCTACGTCCATTTCGGTACTGTTATCATGTAATGATTCACATATTTATAAGTATTTATGTAACTTTATTGTAGAAAACAATATAAAAATTTAGACAGTTCCTATATCATTAATATTATATTATTATTATTATTTATTGTCTGTTCTACAAATTTCCTAACATGAAATTCCTCTCCCGATCCGTTTTTTTCCTAAATCCGTTTCCAAAATTCCTTAACATACGAAAAGGTTTCCCTGTTTTTAAATGAAGTTAAATTATCTTGTCATTGGCTTCAACGCTGACCGCGAAAGGCCAAAAAAGAAGAAAAAAAAAAACATTCGACCAAATTAAAAGACAACGTCAAATATGAAGCTTCACTCGCATCATGCATCTTTTAATTTGGTCGAGTATTACCTATTTGACAGTTATTTTTTCGGACGGACGCTTAGACTATGGAAACTTTTTTTCCATCCTCTAAGGACGGACGTCGGACGGAGAAAGTAGACATCTGACACTGGCCCAAGCCTAGTGGCCGCCATAAAGGAAATAGAAATCACAGATAACTGTAGACAAGTATAGAAATACAAATAGACTTCAAAGCAAGGGTGTGTGAGGTTAGAGATGTTAGAGCTCGATTTTAATATTGATGGCAACGACTTATCGTATTTTTTTAAATGAAATCAATTTAATTAGACAAAATATTGAACAAAAATATCAGTGCCAATTTGCTATTTTAAAATAACTCTCTACGTTCGTGGATTTCCACTACACCCGTTTTGTTGGTAGGTCTATGCCTATTTATAAAACATTCGTTTTAGAAAGCCCGCCAAAAGAAAGTCAGCCATATAATCATTGGCCGCAAGAATTAAATCACGACTCTAGCGGTGTGACTATACTTTATAATACCACAGATTACAGAATGTAATACTAATGTTCGTAATTTAACAAAATCCAGGATTTGAAAATTATATTGTAGATAGAATATCACAAGTATGTACGAACAAAATTTATAATAGGCCTATAGTTTACTTCCATTTTACTAACTTCACACAGGAACGATGATGCCATTGACCTATGATGATCTTAGACGATGGAAAAGCCTATGATGCTTAATTTTTTTAAAGTAACTGTCACCTTTTAGTTGTTATTATGTGAGCAAAAATGGTCACACAACGATTGTATTTATTGTTTGATTTAATTTTTTATTGCGGGATTTCTCACTGTTTTAGTGTTAATTTAATTATTTATATGAATTGTTGTATCTATATTATATATCAATAGTGAAAATAAGTGCAGTATTTGATATCAAGATGTGGGACAAATTAATATACGGTTTCATCATTATTATAACCGCTTATATCTTCAAACAATTATTGTCCGAGCAGCCAAATTTTATTAAATTTAAGTCAAAATTTTTACTTTTCTATATCTGGACTTCATTAACGGCTATAATACTACTACCGTTCTTTGTATTCAATCCGAAAAACGTAAAGAACTCTTTGTAAGTACCTAACACTGCATAATGTTGTGAATACTATGTGATAGGCTTATTTAATATAGTAAACATTAATAAAACACTATTGGTGCTTGCAAGTTGTAATAATTTTATCATTTATTTATTTCCAATCAATGGTATTGATCTTATAATAGATACATACAGAAGTTGAAATGACAATGTGTTTGACCATTGTGAGAGAGCGGAATCTGTACTAGGATACCCTGTGTATTCGGACCCCCCACTCAATCTATCAATCTGGTCTAAATTTTTAACCAAACATGTTTTGTTTTATCATCTAGGTTTGCCTCTCAGATAGTAAAACATGTAACAAAGGTGATAGAAGTGAAATGGTCCTTGAGGAATGGTAAATACTTAGCTGAAGATCGTGGAGCGGTCGTTGTATCTAATCATCAGTCCTCTATTGATGTCCTTGGTGAGTCAATTGATTTTTTTATACAGGCCATAGAATATGGCAAGATGAATTTTATGCAACCCATCAAAGACAATACCTGCAACATAAAATAAACAAAGAGGAAAAGGGAGATCTTTGCTATTCTAACTCTGTAGCAGCAATGTCAGATATCACTCTATTGTTGAAATGTTCCAATTTTAAATCTGAAGTTCACTGGCCTGTGCAGGGGAGTAGAAGTTCTGCTTTTAGTTTTAATTACATCAGGACGTAAATATTTAAAACAGTCATAAAACTTAAAACATGCTTACATCTTTTCTACATAATACTGATGATATGTAGTTGCGAAAAGCATAGAAGATCAATTAACTAAAGTATAATATCTTTCTTTGTGTGTATAAAATGTACTTGCCCAAAACGGTAGGGCTTTTGTTTTCTCCAATATGTTTTATTGTTGTTTCCAAACACAAAAATAATTTATACTAAAGTACCTTTTTCATTGTCTTTATTCAAAAAACATTTTTTGTTTCTTTAAAATCATAAAAATTCCACTTTGCATTACACAAATCTCTCGCAATGCTGCTCTATGCAGACTTATATAAAAATTATGTTTAAATTGACCCACTGCTGAGGTGTATCTTATTGTACAGAATGTACATTCTCCAGAAAACAGGAGACTAAAAAAATTTTTTGCTTTCAAAAATAGTTTCATTTCCTGAAACTATTTTTCAGGATTTAAATCGTGTATATTTGTTTTTTCAAACAAACTGTTTTTTAGTTTATTCTAATTTCTATTAATAATTAATAATAATTTAATTTAATAAAAATTCTTAATGTAGCGTAAATTGGAATGTTTTCTTTGTAAAATTAAAAATAAGATACCTCCACCCCTACGCGAATGGAGATCCCTTTTGAGCCTGAAAATGCATCTAAAGAGGAATATGCTGGTGGATCAAAAGTGAGTGCTTTTATGAAACGCAAAATAAAGGGAAAAATAAGACTGTGCGATGTCTATGGAATGTCTATAGAAACTATTTTTTTAAATAATTGTATAGAATTGAGATAATTTAATTAATAATTTAAGATAATTCATAATTTTAGATTTATTAATATTATTATTGGTTTATTGTCATTGTTATTATTATTTCATTTTATTATTATTATTGTTATTATTATTATTATTAGATAAATAATATTTGATGTTTGTTTGCGATTTGTGTGTGTGATCGACAATGTAGAGCTGCCATTGTCGGGTCGAGCTGAAAATCAGGGCTGAAATCACTACAAAGTGATTTCAGCATTTCCCTGAGCTGGTGTCCGTCACACACATATTTGAATTTTTTTTTATTTTATATTAATTTTTTTAAATAATTCTTTAATTTAGTAAATCGCGTAATTATACATTGTTTATCCTCTTTTCTGTAAATTATTATTTATAAAGTTTTTTTTATTATTATTATGTGTGTGAAAATAAATGGTTTAAATGGTTTAAATTAATAACTATTAGGACTAATAGGATGGTTTGCATTTATATTAGACATAACTGGTTGAAGACTGTACCACCTCAGTCAACCGTGACCATGGGACCAGTAAAGGGACCGAAACATCGGTTTGTTTGAAAAAACAAATATACGCGACTTAAATCCTAAAAAATAGTTTCATTTCCTATGTGTAACAATCGCGAAAACCTAAGAATTCACTTACTTCCCTTTACATAAGATGTATGTTTATGTAATATGTACCTGATACTTCTTGCCACATAATATCTTCTGTTAACAATAACAACTACTCACTTAATGATTCCAGGCATGTTTAACATCTGGCATGTGGCAAACAAAGTTGCAGCTATAGCAAGGAAGGAAATATTTTATGTATGGCCATTTGGTTTGGCTGCTTATCTAGCTGGAGTGGTGTTCATTGACAGGAATAACTCTAAAGATGCATACAGGCAGCTAAAAGCTACTTCAGAAATAATGATTAAAAATAAGGTATGTACTAAGACTATTTACTGTAAATTTTATATTAAATCTGAGTTGCCAGTTAATTTTCGTTCTTTCTTTGAGAGCTGACTAATGTTGCTTTTTATTTATGTATATAACAAACTCTTACTTTATTTTATAAAATGGTTTACTAAAAATGCAAAATTTTACATAATGGCACACTTATACGTTATTAAATACTAGCTGATGCCTGTGACGTCGTCTGCGTAAGTATTTCGAGTAGCCGACCATAGTATACTAATTTTCAGAGTTTTATAGGTTCTCAATACAAACTTTCATTCCCTGTTTCACCCCCTTTAAGACTTATTTTTATGACACAAAGTATGTCACCTATGTTCTTCTCCTATGTCCCATCTATCTGTATATCAGAATTCATCAATATTGGTTCATTTCGGGCGAATTCCCTGGGTAAAAGGGAAATCGCCCAAAACGAATTTTAAACGAGTGTTTTGTGCTTATACATTATCCTACGGGGATACAGCCGTGACGCATTAAAAAGACCCTCAGGATAATCCTAAACCTGCGCCATGGGGTCAGTTGCTAACATTTTCTCATAAAATAGCACATGCTTGCCCTTTGATACTGATGTATTCTTGGAACAGCAATATTTGTAGGAAAAAATAGAATTCTATTTGAACATATTACAAGTGAATGTAAACAAAATAAGCAGGTACTTCCCTCGTTTAAAGTTACAGTTCAATAGTAAAATATAATAAGATCCCAGGTTATATAATAACACATCAGAAAGATTTAAAAGTTTTCTGTAATAAATAAGGTCGCTCAGTGCTATTACACAACACAAAAATTTTTAAACAAAAGGTCCCTGAGCCCTGAAGAAGCCCTGATTGTTACATAGTACCAATCATTAGTATATAAGTAAATTTTTCATTCATTTTATAAAGATATTTTATTATTTAAAACAATTTAAAATTTTTGTTGTTAAATTTATAATTACATTTATATTTTTGTTTATAGCTGTCCCCTATATTAACTATACCCTAACAAGATAGATGTGATGTAAATTTTATTTATGCAATTTACACAATTGCTAACAAATAAATACTGAAAAAAATATATGAATTATGTTGCAGACAAAAATCTGGGTGTTCCCGGAAGGAACAAGAAACAAAGATTTCACTAAATTGCTGCCATTCAAGAAAGGAGCATTCAATATAGCTGTAGCTGCTCAAGTTCCAATCATACCTGTTGTGTTTTCACCATACTACTTCATCAACAGAAAGAAATGCATCTTCAACAAGGGTAACATTAAATGTTTGCAAATTGAACTTATAACAAAATAAGTAAATTTTACTATCTTATCACAATTTGTACTACCACCTTATCAGGGGCCTTACTCTCAGTAGTTATGGCTGTTTTCCCACTATTCATGACCTACGAAACTACTCACGAAGTCAGTCAACGGAAAGACGAGCCCGTTCGAGACTGTCAAAACGCGATGTCATTATGTTCTTAGTTCTCGCCCCGACCGACACTCAAGTCTGTAGGTCATCCACAGTGGGGAAACGGCCTCGAGAGCAGGGCCAGATACTTTCATACATATCGACACTGGAAAGACAAAACACTGGAAAGAAATATAATAAAATACAGAGCGATTTAAAGTTTTGAATTTTTTTTTCTAGAAAAAAAATCCTAACTCTAATTTATTTATTATATGAAAAGCTGAAATTGTCTAGTTTTCCAAATAACAAAAAAATTAAGGTTATAATTTAATTTTCTTAAAAAAAAATATTTTAAATTGCTCTGCTGTAATATTTTCCAAATGCACATTAGACGTTTTACCTTCCCAGGGTCTATATGATCCTTATATGTATACTTTGTGCCAGAATCCCAAATAAATGTAATCAATAGAGTACAGTAATAAACTTTATACTCTTTTAGGACATGCCATAATCCAGTGTTTGGAACCAATACCAACAACCGGACTGACAATGGAAGACGTTCCCGAACTCATAATACGCGTGCGGAATATTATGGATATGGTGTACAAGGAGTTATCTAAGGAGGTGTTAAGCGCCCTACCAGCTAACTATCCCCTGTGCACCACCGATTGAACTCACGCGCGAACGGTGCGTTAAACAAGCAATATGGATCTCGTGCTCTATGTAAGCCAAAGCTAAGATCACTGAATTTATTTTTGAGATTACTTCATTACTAACAATTCAATTTATAGTCCACTCTAAGAGTCGTATTCTAGAAATCTACTCAATGCTCAAGTCAGGATTGCACTGGAAATACGACCCTAATGGCAGGTATTTGAATATGATTTCGAGTGCTTTAAACCATACTCAAATCCTGACTTGAGCATTGAATAGAGTTCTAGAATACGACCCTAAGTGCGTTAAGGTCCTTTTCCACCGGCGAGGCGAGGCGAGACAAGGATTTGTATGACAAATTTCAATTTCCTCCTAGCCCATCTTTGGTGGAAATGTTCTGGATTGACGAGGATGGGCAAGGCGAGAATTGAAATATTTGTTTATGTAATATTGAAACGTGTTATTGCCTACATAGAGTATTATACTCTTTAACGGAAACACGTTATCTCACGAGTGCCCGCATTAATATCAATTGCGAGATTGTGAGGTACGTACTATTTGAGATTTAAAATAAGATAGTTTCATTGATTGATTGACTGATTCTTATTCCGTTGACATATTTAATAATAATAATTTACGGGACATGCTACTTCAGTCGCGTATTTATCGCTAGATGAACTAAACAGCACGGAATCTTCACTATTCCCAAAGAAAGCGCGAGCTATTAATGGCAATTTTGAGATTTCTATTCTCGTGAGTCATCTCGTCACGCCTCGCCGGTGGTAAACTGATATTATACATAATGCAAACTACTAACAACCTCGCAGGTCTATATTACTAACATTATAAACAAGCACATTTCTTCCACGACTTTTCATACAAAAACAAATATTTAAATAGGTCGCTCTGAATGGTGGTAACTCTGTGCGGTAGCAAAAGAAAGCACACATCTCGGGTTCTTAAGATTTCGTGATTGTTACACATAGGAAATGAAACTATTTTTCCAGATTTAATAAAATTTTTAATAAAATATATATATATATATATATATATATATATATATACATATATGGATAAAACAAAATACATAAAATAAAATAATTTGTGAAACATAAGTTAGCGTAAATTGGAATATGTCTGCGTAAAATTAAAAATAAGGAATTTTATTAATAACTTTGTTTCATTTCCTAAAAGCAAACATCACTAAAATTATGTTTATGGGTGACAGCACGCGAGAGGCGTTGATAAAAAACAAACCTAAAAGTGTCCGATAGTACAACAAAAACTCAAAAAAGTTTTAATTTTTTTTTAAGTTCACGAGTTCAGTTTTGAATGTCACGATGATTGACCACCATGATATGCAATTATTTTTGTGTAATTACTTCCCTGGTTTGTAATAATTATTAATACAAAGATTGAACACTGAAGAAAAAATCCTTCAATCTGGGTGAATTCATCAGCAGAATTTTTTCTTAGTGTTAAATTTTTGTATTGATAACATTGACCTACCAAATTAATAATTATAACACAAAAGTTTATTTTTGGTAAATTTATTAAGTTTTGTAAAACATCATGTAACATAGTGGTTGTTCATGGTGTTATTAATATAGTCCTACGAGGTTGTTAGTATTTTACAAATAACCCTTCATGTGACACTTACTGCGATATTATAAAACAAAGCGGATCCAAAACATTTGTTGCTCTAGCAAAATGTTTCCAGTGATTGCAGTTTTTAATTACATTAGTGTATACACTCTTTATAATATTTTTTTGACCCGTTACTATGGCTAAGAGTTTACAGTTATGGAAATTAGAAGTAGTAATCAGTAATCAACCAATGTAAGTTACCATTATTGTATAGACCAATACCATAACAAGAGAAGTATGGTAACTGCGTACAAAGTAACAACGCGGCTTGTATGTGTGCACGACCGCGTAAAGACGCACACATTCGCATAATAATGAAAGACGCATTGGGATGACTAGTGTTACACGACGCGAATGCATCGCGAGATTATGTGATTGTGTGCGTTCGTACACGGCACATACAAGCCGCACTTTCTACGTTTGTATGAAGTTACCGTACTTGTCTTATTATACTGTGCTAATACACACTCAGAATTGGAAAATATAATTTTAATGATGTATAATTAGACGTTTCATACTTTCATATATTATGTAGTGTACTAAGTGTTCATGCTCATTTTCGTGTAGTGTAATGTGATTTTGTAATAATCGAGCTAGAACTACGAAGTAAAACTCGTATAAATGTCATATATGTATATGTAGATGAAATAAGAATCAAATTTTGTAAAACTTTGTATTTTGTATATTGTGTGACGTTTTTAAAGTAGAGTGCAATAATAACGACGTTATATTAAGTTATTATTTACGAGAGCTTGATAAGAGCCCTGAAAGGGTCCTATTTTTTTATTATTCGTCTACGTTTTCATTCCTAGTAATGCTAAGATTTTTTTATTACTGTTATTTAGTCTTGAATCATTAATGTGATCAATTCAAAAAATGTTTTGAACAACAACAGCAATAGTTTGCTTGTCGTATCTATAGAGTGAATTTAACGCGAATATTTAATTTAAGTAAAATATTTTATTTGAAAATATTATTTAATATTGATACAGGACCGGCACCAGCACAAAGAATGTAAGGGAACTGCGCAAACTTTTTTGAGTTTAATTAATCCCTTCGCGTATTTTTTGTCGTGACTCAAATAAATTACAAATAAAAACATTTCTGGCATCGGCATAAAGAATCGTAAGGCAATTGCGCAAACTTTTTTTAGTTTAATTAATCCCTTCGCGTATTTCTTGTCGTGACTCAAAAAAAATACAAATAAAAACATTTCTGGCATCGTCATAAACAATCGTAAGGCAATTACGCAAACTTTTTTTAGTTCAATTCGCGTATTGTTTGTCGTGCCTCTGAAAACTTTTTTAGTTAAATTAATCCCTTCGCGTATTTTTTCTCGTGCGCCTAGAAAACTACAAATAAAAACATTTCTGGCACCACCGCCACAAAGAATAGTAAGGCAATTGCGCAAATTGTTTTGACTCAAATTAATCATTTCGCATATTTCTATGCGTGCCTCTTAACAAATAAAAAATATTCAATATTGATACAGATACAGCAATGGCACCGCTACAAAGTATTATAAGGCAATTGCAGAAACGTTTTTTGTTCAATTACTCCTTCACGTATTTCTTGCCGTGCCTCTAATTTTGCAACAGCAGAAATTTCAGTTACGTATCTTCATGATAACTAGTAAGTCATAGTTTTTAGTTATATCGTACCAGTATTTCGCATTTCACTTTCGAGGCTTCAATGTCTAATATAGTAAATTTTTTCAGGGTATTCTTACTGTGAGTTCCTGCAGGGTACAGACTATTTACATTTCCAGTTCGTTAATAATAGGAAAAATCCGAGTATTGACCTATCGTTTAGTCTGCAGTCTGCGGGTGCTCAGAGCGAATTGGACCTTCTAAGATCGACGTCTAGTGTTCGAGATATGTGCCATGTAATCGCATATAATGTCATTCCATATTACATCCTTATGGAAAACGAAGTAGTGGTCGGATGAACAGAAAATGAAGTTTACATGACCAAAGATTTTTTTAAGCTAATTTATATTTTATAAATACTTATACTACAACTTTTATATGCAGTTTATTACTCTACAGTCATTCGTTTTAAGAACATTGCCATAATGAAATAGTGCCAAGAGCATGTCAAGCTTGAGACTTTGCTACTTTGAACCGTTCTTATCGCAAGCGGCATAGAGTTGGATTTAAATCTCAGGCTGCTAACAGATGGACTGTATGTCTGTAGTTAACGCGTGCAGTCGAGGCTTCAACTGCTTACACTCGAAATTTCAACTGCTTACTGTCGAAATTTCAACTGCTTGCGTCGGCTGCAGTCGACGTGAACGATGGTTCAAGAATCAAAAACAACAATTGACATTCTTAAGACAATGTATGATTAGTTTTGTGGTGTGTGAAATAATAGTGAGGGTTTGATCAAAACAATAGTTAAACAAAAACAGGATTGTTGAAATTTTTCTCGAAGAATTTATTTCACAGGAGATAGCAGAGCTGTATTTATTTTAAATTTCTTATCAAGAGTGTTAATTTGAATGCATTACTTTAAGAATAGGTAAAAGCCAGTGTGTGAATATGAAGGCAATATGATGTGAAACCAGCCTGCGGAGTTGCATTTCAGTAATTTTGTGCTTTAAGATACGAGTTTGAGAAAGTAAGGCGACATTTTGCCACATTTTTTTTATCAGCATCTTTGTTTACACTTTTGATCCCAAATTCCATCGCAGATATACAGTCGAGAATTATGAACGTGAATTTGTTTACAAAATGAAATTTCCATTTCTTTCTTTCGACAGTTATATGTTTATTTCCTTAGTAAAAAGTGAAATCAGCATTTGAAATCATAAATGATCTAAACACAGTGATTAGCCGTATCGGTCCTTCCAATTCGACATCAACTTTTATAAAAAATAAATAAAATATTTATAAAATTAATTCGAACAACAAAATGCTACGTCAATGTCGTACCATGTGTTTGTTTTAGAGTGGTTACACACGGCGACTTTTTGCATCGATGTAATCGCCTATAAATCCCAAGTTTGTATCGATGCAGTCGCGCGCTTGCATCGCGTTTGCATCGCTGTGTAAAAAATCTAGCGTGTGTGTAAAAGTAGACGATCAGCGACTGCATCGCGTTTGCATCGCTGTGTAAAAAATCTAGCGTGAGTGTAAAGTAGACGATCAGCGACTGCATCGCGTTTGCATCGCTGTGTAAAAAATCCAGCGTGTGTGCAAAAGTAGACGATCAGCGACTGCATCGCGTTTGCATCGCTGGTACAAAATCCAGCGTGTGTGTAAAAGTAGACGATCAATGACTGCATCGCGTTTGCATCACTGTGTAAAAAATCCAGCGTGTGTGTAAAAGTAGACGATCAACGACTGCATCGCGTTTGCATCGCTGTGTAAAAAATCTAGCGTGTGTGTAAAAGTAGACGATCAGCGACTGCATCGTGTTTGCATCGCTGTGTAAAAAAATCTAGCGTGTGTGTAAAAGTAGACGATCAGCGACTGCATCGCTGTGTAAAAAATCCAGCGTGTGTGTAAAAGTAGACGATCAGTGACTGCATCGCTGTGTAAAAAATCCAGCATGAGTGTAAAAGTAGACGATCAGCGGCTGCATCGCGTTTGCATCGCTGTTTAAAAAATCTAGCGTGTGTGTAAAAGTAGACGATCAGCGACTGCATCGCGTTTGCATCGCTGTGTAAAAAATGCAGCGTGTGTGTAAAAGTAGATCAGCGACTGCATCGCGTTTGCATCGCTGTGTAAAAAATCTAGCGCGTGTGTAAAAGTAGACGATAAGCGACTGCATCGCGTTTGCATCGCTGCTAAAAGTCGCCGTGTGTAACCGCTCTTAGAGACACATCCAAACGTGTTAAATGTTAGTCTCAAAAAGTTACAAACCAAATCGTTATCTTTCAAACTGTTGGTTCCACTAGTGACTCCAATTGGATTTTCATATACTGAAGTCCCCACTTAGATGGTAGAATTCTTCGTGTGTATTTAGTATTCCCACTGTTTGTCATTTTTAGTCCTAATCAAAGAGACAAAACCATGAATCAGCATGGATAATTGTCATGATAATTATCAAATAAAATAAATATTTTGATAATTTCTTGTCCGCCTTGTAGCAGTCTTAAATGTCAAGCTTGACGTGCTTCTTGACCCTGTACGCTTTTAGAAATCCATTTTTACACATTATTAAAACAATCAATAAAGATGAAATTTGTCATAAAACAAAAAAAAATTATAATTTGAATTGAATTTATTGCGTTTTAGCATTTTGATTCACTCTGTTAGGGGATAATCTTAATGGTGCGTACAGTTCTGGCGAATGCGCATGTTTGCGAAAGGCTTGCGAGCTGCACATGTGCATTATGTTGTGCGATCTGATGTCGCGCGACACTCGCGCGCTTCATATATGTAAATATATTTACATGTATTTAATTGCACGCATGCAGCTTGCGTGCAGTATGCGAGCAGCGCGCGCGGAGCACACTTGCAGCGCGTCCGCCAGATCTGTACGCACCCCTACAATTTCGTTTTTAGTTGTTTTGTTCCTAAAACCTAGTCTAATATTCCTAATAGTAATCCTTTTAACTTTGATCGACAACTCCTCTTTAGAATACAGCCTATTTTTGTTGGGCAGCTATTATACGAAAAGTTACTATAATGAGAGTCGCATTCCAGAACTCTACTCAATCAAGTATAAAGATATAGATAAAGATAAATTTATTTCTGTATAAAATATTAACCTAAATACATACATAAATCTTATTAAATAACCTATTGTTTACATATATGCGCCAAATTGTCGCAAACAATGAAATTATTTTATGTTTACATTACTTTAATTAAGGTTAGTAGTGCAAATTAATCTAGGTGATACCTAAACTAAGTAAAATTGTTTACTTGTGTCTTAGGTATCTAAATTGGTGATTATAGCATAACGGTTAGTCAACATATTTTGTTCAATAACAATGAATTACAATAATACATAAATCTTAATTATAATAGCTGGCGTCTTAATCATATTTATATTACTTAAAAACTGATATAAAATTTTCAGTGTCATTGTAGTTAATTCTTTTTAACCAGTCTTGTACAGTTATTTTACATTGAAACTTATTCATAGGATATATAGATAGAGAACGATTTATTTTATTAGTTGATATTAGGAATGATTGTGGAACATTGTTCGGAGTCACACGTAAACGATTCATATTCTAAGGAAGTGTCTAGGCCATTTACAAAATCGTTTGTTACATTACCCATTCTGTGCTATATTGTCTTGCTGTGCGGCGGTCTAGGCGCCCTCATAATCTATGGAATTTAAATATCTGGCTTCAGCACTTTTTCTCGCTGGGCACAGCGCATCTCCCGTCCTATGTTGGCTTGGTTTGTTGTACCGCTGACAAGAAGCACATTTAGGTGGATCCTGCAGTTTCGAGCAATCTTTAATTGTATGACCTACGCAACCGCAGTGGCCACAAGTAGAGTCGGTGTCTCTACAGTATTTTGCGGAATGTCCATACTGCTGACATTTGTAACATCTAGTTACGATCGTGAAGTCTCTAACGGGGCAGGATGTCCAGTTTATAAACACGCGCTCCTGTTGGATTACCATTTTTCTCGTATCTGCAGGTACTTTCAATATAAAGTTGCAATATGATGAGTCCTTTTTTCCAGATTTGTGACTCAACTTGATTGAGTTCAAAAACTTATCACGTTGCACGTGTGGATATTTGTCAGATATGTTCTGCTCAAATAAGCACTCCAGCACCTCCTTCTCAGGAGTAGAGGTGGGCACCCCTAATAATATTATTTTAGGTCTCTTTTTAATTTTATCCTCTATTTTTAGGCCTGAATTTTTCAGTTGCTCCGATTGCTTCAGCTTCTCGAGGTCATCTTTCCCTTCAGCACTGATTACGATACCTCCTTCTTTAGTTTTTCTCATGCCTCGGATGTGCAACTTCAGTTCTTCGGGCTTAATTATAGTTTGAATGAGCTTTTTTGTGTCCTCGCTTGACTTCTCTTTATTTGTCGGGTAAACAATAATGCTTTTGGTGCTGGATGGACGTAGAATTGAGTTGTTCCCCTTTTTAAGAATGTCGGCAAAGGATGTATTCTGTGCTGCCATATTTGGAGCCGATCGTATGCATTCTTTCAAATCTACAAGATGGTCTTTTATTTGGACAGAGATTCCTTTCTGGTCGTTATAATTTTGGATAACAATTTGCGACGAAATATATTTTTGCTTCAGGGACTGGTATTTTACGGCTAACTGCGAAACTCCCCCCATAACGCTTCTGCTTAAGCTGCTTATTTTCAATTTTTGTTCTGAATTGAGCTTACCATCATTAGAAATGCTGCATATGTCATTCAGGCATCGCTCGATTGTAGTTAGCCACTTCTCTATTTCTGCAGTTGATACTGCTTCAGTTGTTGGTATTGGAGTTGGGACTTCTTCTTGTCGTCTCGGGGGCGGACTCCTGCTTGTCATCGTACTCCGACTAAATGGACTATCCATTTTGAAATCAGAAATCACTATAGAAAACGTATCATTACGCCAATAGCCGCGCGATCATCATGCGCTGACACAGATTTACGCGGAAGCTATATTGACACAGTTTTGAAATTTATTGTTATTAAAAAAAGAACGAATTTTATACAATTTGCAGAAGGCACGTCCGACTGCAAACGCGACCGAACATATCTTCCTATGAGTATGACTTCTAGTGCTTGAAATCATACTCAAGTTCTGACTTGAGCATTGAGTAGAGTTCCGGAATACGACGCTGAGAGTGACATACCTAAAGAGAAACGTTACAAAATAAATGTACATTATAGATGTCTGTGTTGTGTCTACAATTTGTCGTAATACCTCGAGCATAATAATAACATTTCTCAGCAATTGCAGAAACATGACGTTCGATATTCGTATAAATACACAATCACAGGAAAATCTTAGTATTGTAACCAATGTCTTTTTTAACTATACAAATGTCTACTCGTAAATATTGTGATATATTAGGCTACAAGTAATATATGTATTCTTGTGTATTCTGTATTTGAGGAAAAAGCATTGGAAATGTGAAATATTTTTTCATGTTTACATGACGTAGTCTATTAATAAAAGATATCGCAGGGTACCATTTGTATTTTATTGATTAAAACTTCCTTGTTTTGTTGAAATAATTATATATTAAACATACACCTATAAATATTAACATTAACAACAACCATCCCGATAATATCAACCTTTGTTGTAACGTCGTTCAGTTGACACCAGAAATATTTATCACAGATTCTTATGCGTAGGTAAATGTTGAACAATTACCTGTAAACAAGTTAATACGATAATAATAATTACGACGTAATTGTTTATACAAACGTGCTTTGATCTTTGGTTAGGTAAACAAATTATAAAACTTAGAGCCACTGGGTCACCTGTATCGTAAAATGAGATCGGTCGCTATTATCTATGAAGATTTGCTAATGCCACCAGATCATTTGTAATAATAATAATGTGCTAACAAGTTAAAAACTTACAACCACTAGCTCATCTGTACTGTATATGACGTAATTCGCTATTATCTAAGAAGAGTTGCTAATGCCACCAGTTCATTTGTAATAATAATAATAATGTGCTAGACAACCAAACCAATTAGCTGGTCTCAAACTAGGAAATTTCCTATACTGTGAGTACCAGAGCCGGAGCCGGAATTCACTCCGGGGCACTACCCAGAACACCCAGCCACAACCATTTAAAAAAATCATTTCCCAATTGGTCCTACCGAGAATGGACCCCGGGACCTCCTCGTCTAACTCCCACATTGCTAATCATTGAGCCACCAAGGCGAGATCGTCATATATGCCGTTGTGGCTTAAACGGGCGCATGACTTTTTAAAAAATTGTTATATATACTCCCGTGATAAGGAATAAAACTCCGATCTGGGGGCCTACCACAACCTCTTAAAACAATATTACTTTAACCTTACATTGACTTTTCGTACAATGACGCGCTTAAAGTAAGCTTATTATAATGTTAAAACCATAGATTTAGTATGTTAAAACTATGATGTTGAGACTATTCATTCACTCAGTTCGTATTAAGACGCGAGTTTAACTTTAAAGTAATATTGTTCTTATGTCAAATTTAGCAATCTTAAAATAGTTACTCGGACGCAGTGGAAACAATATTATTTTCGAATTTATTGTCTAAGTATTGATTTGTTATGATTAAAAGTTATGTTGAACTTATATATTTATACATAAATCTCTTCAATATTTTGTTTAATTTTTAGCTAATTTTTTAGAAATAATTTCTCGTTAAATAAAAATACGCGATGTTTATTTCGAAAAATTATGCAAGCGACATCTATATGCTTCTTGGCGACACTAACAAACACACTAGACTATAATTCTGAATTCACAACTTAAGTATCAAGACTCAGCTTGTTTTATTTATTTTTCTTCGTGAAAATGCGGAAAAATAATTGAAAACAACGTAATTTTAATAGATTTTATTATTAGGGACATACTTTTCTTTTTAACAGACTTTAACTTATTCACTTAATGTAAATAACATTAAGTACTTGAACAATAAGACGATTCGGATCATCAAAAAAGAAAGAGATGGCATTATATAATTCATATAGCGTTATTTCTTTCCTATTTTTAGTAAGGATTAGACAATATTGAGAAATCATTCGTTCTTTCAATCACTTTAGTAATAAAACATTACTTGGTTGACAGATTTGTCATGGTATAAATATGAGTAATATATATTTTTCTCGGTTTTGAGTTATTATCACAAGCGCTCTTTTAACTAACGGCGCCAAATATGAGGTAGTTCTCTATTATATATAATAGAGTAGCAATCGTATCAAACCAAAACACTGCAAGTCCCATTTGTGTCTTGTAATTTTTGCCTGTTATTAATGCAAAAAAATATGATTTTTTTTTTTCAATATAAATAGTATCATTAATATCTAATGTACGAAGTACGTTAAATGTATTATACACTGTTAACCTTGAAATCTTACAAAAAAAAACAGAAAAATCTTTGCAGCATGTTCTCAAAATGCTGTTTTTGGTATTACAAGGTTTGACAACATGAAATAACAACTTGGAACAAAAAATAAACATGTGGTAGTGCTAACAATCTAAGTAAAGCTTGAAATACACAGAGCAGGTGCGAGCAGGTCGTCAGGTCGGGACGGGCTCGGGTGTGTTGTCGCATGGACGAATAGGCTGCGGTGAAAAGGTTATTCAATCTCTCACTACTTGTGACTAGTGGCGACGAATGCGAAAAAGTCAATACAAAGATCTATAACAAAAATACATAGTAGTATTTCGATAACTCGGTAACTGGAGGTCTGCTCCCGTTTTCCGTCCAACATCCGTCCGAAACAATTAGGCTCAACTCACACTGGCGCAGAGTCAAAGCGTCGCGACGCGTCATGTTTTTCGCCTATAGCATATTCATCTCTATTTTCCCCATCATTAAGGTACAAATTTGTGTTTTGCAAATATGGAACGTCAGACGCCAACCACACTGTGATCCCGGCGCACTAATGCGAGCGTCGTCGCGCGTCGCCGCTCGTCCCCAGGCGGCGTAGTTGAAAAACAGGATGCGACGCGACGCTTCGACTCTGCGCCAGTGTGAGTTGAGCCTACCTGTTAAATAAATAATACTCGACCCTACCTGTTAAATAAGTAATACTCGACCAAATCAAAAAACAATGTCAAGTATGAAGCTTCATTCACATCAGACGTCTTTTAAATTGATCGAGTATTACTTATCGAGTTCTTAAGTTTTCGCGATTGTTACACATAAGAAATGAAACTATTTTTCACGTCGGTTTGTTTGAAAAAACAAATATACGCGAATTAAATCCGGAAAAATAGTTTCATATCCTACGAGTATTACTTATTTGACAGTAACTGTTTCGGACGAATATCAGACGGAGAACGGGAGTACGACCCCTGGACCCGTGACTCAGATGGTTAGAGCAATGCTGTGGTGCAGCATGGGCGTGTCACACCAATCTCACTTATTTTTAAAACCATTAGTTCTGGGAAACTAAGTTTGAAATAATTTTATGCAAAATCGTGTAACTAACTACCACAATCACAATTGTTTAACGTACAATCGATGTAATTAACCTTTACTACAATAGGCTTTTTTTTTTCTTTGTGTCATCGTTATTTTTTTATGATTTCATTTAGTCATACATACGGTGTAAAGCGTATCACCTATTTTGAGTTACGTGACACTGCCCATTACTAGCGTCAAAATTTTGGCCAAAGGCTATCTCATGTATATTCATTTACAGCAAATAGGCATTTCAAATATTTTATGATATAAATTTTACATAGTTCCTGTACCAAAGAAAAGTAAAAAGTTTAGGTATATTTGGGTATATTAATAAAACCATTCGTTTTAAATGAATTTTTCATTCATTTAAAACAAACATTATTTAATTATAATATTCATAAAAAGTGGAAAGTAGTAAATATGGATCAAATTTATTTGGGCCTAATCATAAAAATGCGAACAAAATTTTGTCTTTCATTATCATTACAAATGTATATTTAACAATTCTGATGTTGTCAAATCCACTTTGGATAATAATTATATTTATTACTTAAATTTATATAATTAAAGTTAAAATAAAAAAAATATATCACATAACTCGAATTGCGAGAGGTAGGTACGCGTATTATCGCAAACGCTTTGTTATTGTATCGCCTATTTCAATTAAGCTTAGATAAATGAAAATCCCATTATAATAGCATTGAATTAATGTGATGCAAGCATTTTGCGTATACTATATCTTCGTAAATACATTTTACAAAAAAATAATCAGTTAAGCCTTGTTACGCGTAACTCACCTATCTTAAGATAATAGAGATGTGTATGACACGGCAATGGACGTGGCTGCAAGTCCCACCGAGTCGACGAAATTTTTCTGTTTTCTATCTTTGTATTAATAATTATAACAAAACTAGTGGAGTTATTTCACAAAAAAGTTATTACAAATTTAAACACACATTTCCCTTCAAAGTTGATCATTGGTGGCATCATCCTATATAATTTTGAGTTTTTGTGTTTGTTGTACTTTATTTATTTAGTATAAGACTACGCTATCTAATGAAACTGTTTACACTGCAATTGAAAATCATCCTCACCTGATTTTAGTCGGCTTTAACGCGTATCGGTATGGTTTCATTCGAAGTCTTGGTAAACTCCTCCTGCATTATGCGCTGTGCTTTGTCCATGAGAACCGGTAGGTCGTCCTTCGATAAACCATCCGTCTCAATCGTCGGCAATATCGTAATTATCACCTCACCTGGGATATTGCAATTAAAACACTATAAATTAGTACATACATGAGTACTAAGATTGCAAAAGCATTGTATAATAAAAGAGCTTAGTTGTAAACTACTAAAAAAGGACAGCAATATACGCATTATTAATTTATTATATTGAATCGAAATAAGTAAGGAAAATAAATAATAATATAAATAAACGCACGCACTCATAGCCCCGCACTTGAGCAACAACACTGACACAACCACAAATTACACCCAAACTCACGAGAGAAATAAATGTACACCATACAAATATTTCTTTATCCCAGCCCAGGAATCGAACCCGGGCCTGTGAGTGTCAGACTAGCATGGTAACTGTTCGGCCACAGAGGCAGTTAAGAAAAGTAATAATAGGCAGTTAGAGAATTCTCTACTATATTGAATTCTAAACCACGCACTCCGAATTCGCATGTAATTTGATTATTACAAACTCAGCATAACATACAATAATACTTACGCCTAAACGTGCAGCAAAAATGAAGTGTCAGATAAAAATAAATAGAAAAAACTCTTGGCGGAACTGCCCGTTCGTCGCCATAACAGTGCCAGAAGAAAACCAGACCCCAACAATCTGACTCGAAACTAAAGTAAACCGTGCCACAATGCATCAATGGCGGGATAAATAAACAACAGTCAATAAATATGTACAGTCATGTAAAAAAGTTTCTGATCACCTAACACCACGAAAATCCAGTTTTTATAATATCGACTATATTAAACTTATAAGCGACACACAACGTTATTGCAAAATACGCTAATATTTTAAGGAAAATCTAGATTGTTGTAGTTGAATTTCAGATGTGAACTAAAAATTGTGAGCTGATCTTTTATATGTTACCAAGCGATGTGACAAACAAGTCGTGCTCCTGGTGGCAAGCGATACGCCTATCCATAACAGTCGCAGTGCCACTCAGAAATTTCAGTCAAAGATCGAAGGTGCACTACGACTGCGCCTGTCACCGTCAGACATAAGTTGACAAGTCCCATGTGCCTGTAATTCCACCAGCACCCTTATCCTACAAAACCAGAACGGGGTAACGCTCACATTACTCCTTGGTGGCAGAAATAGATAAGGAGGCAGTACTTCCATGAACGAACTCTTTCACAAGGAGCTCTACTACTACAAAATGTACTGTCAAGTACGTGTCAAATGGTATCAAGTTTTGCATCTATTCTAATCCTAGAATTTGATGAGCCCATTTCAGATTTAAGACTTTTAGTGAATTTTTTATTTTAAAATTGTTCACTTCTGTTATTTGTTAATAAAATAGTACATACTACTACACCATTGTAACATAGGTATTGATTTTGATAAGATTTACACTTTGTGCTATTAAAATATATAAAAAGGTACAGGCATAAAAAAGGTAAGAAAAATCGGGAATCTAAATTTAAAGTATCAACAGCTAATAGTAAAAATAGGAAACTCTAATCGGTTATTACGCAATCAGTAATACAATCCTATCATTGCAAAACTCGAAGCGTCCTCGGCATGCGCGTCATTTCAAAACTCACAAAGCAATGGATAAACAGGTAAGCTCGTGGTGTATTAACGATTTTACATTAAATCCGGTAATCAGTAAGTGCAATCTATAGCCTTTAGAAATGATGTTTTATTTAATTGCAATACGGTTTAGGATACTATTCTACTGGTTCAAGCCATATACATCCTATTGCTGAACAAAGAACTCTTCAAAATAGAGTGTTAAAACTGTAGGTATTGTGAAGTTGGGGGCTCCACATGCCATCTAATTATGAAACACGAAATATATCATCATCACATAAAACATTTAGCACTTTTTATACCTGGTGTACATTTATGTACCTACTATTACATCTATTCGTGTTCAACATGTGCCTATGTTGACGGCTAGTATGTGGAAAACAAGCCGTTATTGATAGACATCATTGATGGTATTTTACACTTTACTTATCGTAAAATATCTTCGCTTATCTTTTTGTAACGGATGCTATAGTGAAACACTTTAAATTAAAAAAAAAATATTCGAGTGAAAATCTTACCGGATCCAAAGCGCCGTCGCTTGGAGTCGAGGAAATGATATTTGGAAACTACGACTGGTTGAATGGGGGCATTCGCACTACTCGCCACGTGGAACGCTCCTTTCCTGAACGGCAACAGTTTGTCGCCAGAATGCCGCGTACCCTCAGGGAAAAGGAGCAATTTACGCTGAAATTTGCAATGAAATCTTATTCAATTTGATGTCCAGTGCACCAAAATGTGTAAATTTCTATCAAAAGCAAAAAAAATGTACCACTTGTATGCTGTGGACAGGAAGGTACCTCAATGGTGACAGAAAAATGTAAAAGTAATCAGACAAAAACAATTTATTTCCCATGAATTACGAATAATTTACCGATACTTATTATTGAGAAAAGCCAGTCAACTCGGTATTATAATTTAACTTCAATTAAAAGAACGCCAATAAGTCAATTCAAAATGGTTTATTGAAACCGTTTCCAAGCCCTGACTTACATACTAAACACCAAAAGATGTAAGCATTGTAGGCGTCGCAGTATGCAAAATTGAACACTAAATGCACTCTTATACATTAGATTAGATGTTTGGTATGCTGTATATTATAAAAGGTTTTGACACCGAGAACTGAAAGACAAATACAATGTAAAATTTATACATAATGACGATGCAGATTTAGTCAGTTTGTCACTAAACCTCTGATATCTGATCTATTAGAACTCTAAATCACAACTATCTCACTAAAATTTTAAACCCTCGATTATGGTTGACCCTGAAAGAAACCAAATCAGGTAATTGATTTCGTTACATTTGATTTTAGATTATTTATGTTTTTTAATTGATATTGTTGAGATATAGCTGATATCAAAGTCCATGATAACGTTTTTCTTGATATCAAAAAACGGATTTATTTATAGCAGCCCATTTTTTCTACTCACATACGTACTTCATAATGAAATTTTCGATGGCCCGAGATATATCATGTGATTTTTTTTTGCCGCTTTTGTACCTAAACCTATTAGACAGTAGAGAATGGATTGTCAAGATAACTGATAACCAGGCATAGGCTAATGCATTTTTAAGCACCAGGATTTTACGAAAATATGGTGACGTTCAGACTGACTAGAAAGTATCTTATAATTAGTAAGTTGCCGTTTTAGATAAGTAATTTTGTTAGTTATACGATAACTTTACTAAAGTGATTTATTGAGACTGAAAAATTAACGTACAACAGATTTTGCATGTTTTCTGCTTGGTTAAAAGAAAAAAAAAATAAACGATGTTATTGTCATTTGTTTCGTTTTATATCCGTCCCCAGACCACTCTTTTTTTCAAATCGTTATAATTCCCATATTTTTGTTTTTTTTTACTGTCCCTCATAATAATACATACATTACGAATATCTTTACAAATGTGCAAGGCTAATTAACGAACTAAAATATGAAAATAAATGATGGGTCAGCATTTTTTCAAAATACTTCCATCATTATTAGAACTGCCCGTGTGTATACTATTGTACCAACCTACAATTTCTTACTATTTAAAAAAATATTTTGAACTTAATTATACAGTATTCATAAGAAGTTTATATGTACACGTACTAACCAATTAGTGCCAGTATCATACGAGCATATGACCTGTGAGCCAGCTAATATAGCGATAAAAAAATCATTCTTGTCCGTTAATAACACGCAAGGTTAGTGCGAACTGTGGACTGCTAACTATCACACAAAGATTACAACTTATACTCAAGGCTTCACCTAAAGGTAAGTAGAAAATTTACGGAACATTCATGATAACATAGGTCAGTATGTTAATGTATTTTCAATTCAATACAATTCACTTTAAATATATTTATTCGTCAACATACATACATGATGATAAATAAAATTATAATAATATAGGAACTAAATAGGTAAAGAGTATAGGGAACATACGAAATATACAAATCACAAAGTTCTTAGCTAATAATATGTCTAACATTATTATTGGAATTATAGTCATTAGGTCATTAATATACAAATAAATATTTTGAATCTATAAACTAAAAATATTTTTACTAAAACAATTGATTAAAAGTGTCAAATTACTATTACTTACTAGGATTTAAATATTCATCTATAGAGTAAAAAATGTTTGGTCAGGGTTGTTGCGAGTATCAGCATCCGTGTCCGCGGATAATCCGCATAAATTAAAATATCTGCATCAGCCTGGCGGAGACTCGATAACAATCATCATGAACAAGGTTGTTATTGATGCAGGTTTTTTTACACATCAGCGGATGCGAATGCTCATTTTTTTACTTTAACATCAGCAGATATGCTCAATTTATATATTAATAATATATCGGACTAGATATATGGTATAAATATAATATTTAAAAAAAGATGTTAATAACACGTATTACAGCTTTCCTACGATAAACAACCCAAAATCCAGCCTTTAAAAAGATGACAGCTGATAACATGCGACCAAATTAAAGAGAACAGCAGTAAATCGAAATATGAAACTCACTACTAAATATTGTACTTGACCGATTAATCAAATGACAGCTGCAGTTTGCTTACTTTTAGTTAATTACCTAAACCTTTATTATATACTATATGTGTACGTATATATATGTGAATATCCACAATAAAGATCAGTCAATGCGGAGACTGATGCGGACGCGGATATTTTAATATATGCGGATTATCCGCGCATGCGGATGCTGATATTCGCAACAACCCTGATCATGAATTGATTAATTCTTCCATAAACTGTTTCGAATAGGCTAAACGTCCAACCACTCAACAACTACACTAGTACTTATAAATATACCAACTTAAAATAATGGTTTAGTTTAATGGTTTTAAATCACTCTTCTATGTATGCTCAGTGTGCGAGTATCGTCGGCAAAGAACGATGAACTAATTTGAATGATCTCTTTGATGAAAATGGAACATGACCCCGAGGACATAATTATATAAGGACACAAGACATCATAGGTATCTGCACAACAAAATTGTGACCACGAATGGCTTCGTATCTAAATACCTAACGTAACTTTAGTTTGCACCTCCAAATAACGTTCCACAGGCCTAAATAAATTTAAAAGCGCTACAAAACAAAATCAACATACTTACAAACAAAATGGTACAATAACAATTAACATTTGTATCTATGTCATGAAAGTACATTTTATTCACCTCTTTATAACCTCGGGACATAAAACTTAGCCACAAGACCTCATTGTTAGGTGTTTTTTGTTATTCTTACGGTCACGGTTGAAAGGTGTGAAGGTTAACATATGTGTGCGGACTGAATTTCGCTTTTCGACTTTAATTTCTCACTGAGAGCGTAAAATTGTGTCTTATTTTGTGTTGGTGGTGGTAAAAAAATAACATAGAGGTAAGTTGCCTTACGTTCTGTGATCCCAGAGACGAGGCGGAGCCCCCTGATAGGGGGCCTCGTTCTCTATCTGTATCCCCGTCCGTTAGCTCAATGGAGATCAACATCAGTGGTCAAAAGAGCAAGCGCCCTGCTTGCGCGGACATTGATAGCTCCACTAAAAAGACAAGACTCCCGCCGTCTGCGTCAGTACAACATACGTATACCCTGGACGGATACGAAAGTAACTCTGACTTGAAATATTCAAACAACGATGCTGGGCCCTTTCTGGTCCATGTTTCTCGCACAGAAAGTGACTCCTCTTCTTCCACAAATTAAATGCGTGCTTTAAAAATCGCCCAAACAATCTACAACAGCAAAGTCTCGGGAATTTTAGAAATAAAAAGCATTGGCAGGGACAAAGTATCAATTTACTTTCAAACACCACAGGATGCAAACAACTTTATTGATAGTCCACTCCTTAATAATCAAAAACTTTCTGCTGTAATCCCTCGCTTCCACCTCACCCGCAATGGTGTTGTTCGCCAGATCCCCTTGGAATGGTCCCTCGAGGAATTGGTTCACTCCATCAAATGCCCCCCAGAGGTTAGGCTAGGAGGCTAAATAAAAAGCGTATAATTGAAGGACAAGCCACTTGGGAGCCATCTGCCACTGTGGTATTGACATTTTTGGGACAGATCCTTTATTTTAATATGTCTCTCCCAGTGGACCTATATGCTCTACCCATAATTCAATGTCACAAGTGCTGCCGCTTTGGACATGTTCGTGAACAATACCGTTCTCATCCGCGTTGTTCTAGATGCGCCCAGAATCATGATGGCTCCTCCTGCACCGTTCCAGATGATGCTGTGTCTTGCCTTCTCTGTTCTGCCTCCCATAAAGCTACAGATTCAAGGTGCCCTGAGCATGCACGTCAAAAGCTAATATAATAGTGATGGCTGAAGACAATATTGGTTACCTAGAAGCTTCCAGACGATTCAGTTCTGTCCGGAAATCATATGCTGCCATGGCATCTCCAACCTAGCACCCGCAGATTCCCCCCCTCTCCCCGCTCCCCCCAAACAGTTAGGTCTCCTCCCTGTACCCCTGTCCGCCCACAGTCCCAGATTCCTTCCACATCTTATCGTAAGACAACTTTTACAGAAAGCCGCCGCAGACAAGAACAAACCCAAGGATATGTATGATAGATACTCACATAACCTCATAACATCTACACCAAAATCCTTGCAACCTAATGAGTGTTCTCTCCTTAGGGACCCCTCAAATAATAATAACCCTTCGAGTTCTTAGGTTTTCGCGATTGTTACACATAGGAAATGAAACTATTTTTCCGGATTTAAATCGCGTATATTTGTTTTTTCAAACAAACCGACGTTTCGGGCCC